GGGTGCATTGTTTCCATAACCCCTCTCACAGTGTGCCCTCTCATTTATCTCTATTAATCCCTTCAAACTGAAAATCTACCTTTAATTTCTCTTAGACTAGCTTATATAAGTATATATAAGTATAAGTATATATATATAAGCTTATATTCACTGGAGTTCAGTATTGCTTTTCAGAGCTGTAAGATTAATTGTGTTTGAGCTTTCCTGTTTTTAGATCAACGGCATGTTTCCAGCTTGATTTGCTACCATATCCTTGTACAGATAGCCCTACTATGTATTGTCTCCTCATCATGTTATAGAAAAGACATTCCTGCTCTAGATTCAGTCCACATGATTGGTAATCATGCCCAGTAAAGAGCATCCAGATACACTCTGGGACTTAAAGTATTGTCCTACACTGACCAGCTGAAAGAAGTGAACATTTGCAATCTTAATCAGAGAAGAGTATGAAGGGAACCTGCCAAAAGCATTCAAAATCCTCAGAAACACTGATAGTCAACCCAGACGACTTCTTCAGCATGAACTGTGAAACACAGCACAATGCAAAGGAAAGTGTGAGGAACACTGCTGATCCATCTTGTTGAAGTCAATACCCTGGATCTTTACTGGAAATAGCTGGATGAGATCTTTGGATCAGGAAGCTACTATCTACCAAATGGTAGATGGGTCAGATGGCCGTTCATTTATAACCTTTCTTATGTTTCTCTAGCTGGAAGACAAAACAGTGGCCCAAGCACCGAGCCCTGAGGCGCCCCCACCCAGTGGGATTTGATAAAACCCTTGACAGGACTCACTTTCATGAGCTCCACCGACTGCCTGATCTCAACCACCTTCTTCTGTCTGTCCTGGATCATCCGTAGTATGTCCACCTCTGCCATTTGTAAATAAGGCTGTGGGTAAATGATATGATACAATATCAGCATACAGTATGCATTTATTAATATATGCATTTTTTATAATGGATGATTTAATTTGACCCCATATTTCTGGGCTTTAATGCATTTTCTTGAAAATGCGTGGAGCATGCTTCTCAGCAAGAAACCCTCCTGAAAACATAGAAATGTAGCTAATCAGATGGTGGTAACCTTGTGCATTTACAATCAAGAACAGAACAGAGGCTCTTCTTAATCCAAAGGCTGGCTATCCAGCCATGTCACTGAAGCTGATACCCTTACTTCCATTAAGAAAGAGCTGTATGAGATCCTTAGATCAATTACCTACCAATGAGTCTGAATGACCTCCTCTTACATGTAGTCTTTTGCTACTGTATATATTTACATCCAATAGGAACCATAAGGGAATTTTAAACATCAAGTAATTTTGAATTTTCTTTAAATGTATTGATCTATCAATATTAGCACCCTCGCTCCACTATAAATGCAAAATAATCTCTTTTAACAAGCACTTTTTTAAATACAAAAGTTATACAATTGGATCTAAATCTGACTCAATGAGACACAGTGCACGTGTTTCATCTGATGTGGTGCAGAAAAGATCCCAAGATTGCATTTCAGCCCATTGTTGGGACACATCGCCCAGCCTCCATCAGAAGCTATTTCTCTCTACCTTCTTCTTCTCCCATTCTGTCTGAATAGGGACAGCCTCGTGTGCTCTGTGGTCTGTCTCTCTGCAGAACTGGCAGATGCAGATCCTGTCTCTCCTACAGAAGAACTCCAGGAGTCTGTGGTGCTTCTTGCACACTTTGTCTGCGAGGTTGCCCACAGGGTCCACCAGGGTGTGGCTCCTGAAAGCATCTCCCAGGTGGTGAGGTAGGACGTGTGTCCCACAGTAGGAAGCCAGACACACCAAACACGATTTCTCCGCCTTGAGCTTTCTTCCAGTGCAGAAGTCACAGGGCACTTGGCCTGGTCTCACAAGACACTCCTCAGACGTGCTGATGTGGGTCACCTTGAACTGCTCAACGATTTCCTTCAAAGTGGTATTAATGTGAAGATCGGGTCTTCCAAAGAATGGCTTCTTACACATCGGACACAAGCACACGTCGGTGGTATCCCAGTACTCTCCAATACACTGCATGCAGAAGTTGTGCCCACATGGAGTGGACACTGGGTTGGTAAAAACATCCAGACAGATGGAGCACTTCAGCTGCTCCTCAGACAGGAGGTGGCTGGGTGAATCCATTCCTGAGAACGCAGAAGCAATGAAACAGGTGACCAGAGCTCAACACGCCTCAACACATCACAAACAGCAGAGAGCTGATCAAGGGACATAGTATCACGTGGAATACAGAAATCATAAACCACTAGTGGCTATTATTGAAATTGACCTAGTAGTTGAAATTGACCTGATCGTTTGTGGAAATATAGAGCCACTTTCATAAAGTGTACACCTATCGTACTGCATAAGAACGTTTTGTGAAAGAGGTCTATATTGCTCCGGTCAGACTGAGAAGATAAGGATTTGTCCACATGTGTTTTTTTGCATTTCTGTTATTCTAAATACAACATGCAATATGACAGATACTGTACATCTACTTTCTAGCTAAAGAGGCTGTTTTTCCTTCCCTTTTATTGGTTCTTGTATTGTTATATTCATATTACCAAAACATCACTGGATGTTTGGTGTTTTCTGCTCAGTAAGCTGATGATGATTTCTCTTATCTCTGTGTCTGTTTTAGAACACACTTATTTTGGAATGTATGAGGTGTAGAGAACAGGTATTTAGAAGAAAAAAGAAAAGGAAAATAAGCTAAATGAACTAGACAGGCCTATTGATCTCTTGTTTGAATGTTACAGTTGTTAAGTCTGTTCATTTAGTTAAGGTCTAAGATTAGGAAAGTCCTATGCTGAGCTAAATAAATCCTCAGAGCAGAACTGATCTCTCCTCCTGCAAGTGAAGGGTGTTAGTACTTTGATTGATAGAGACCCCCACACTGAAGACTCAATCCATAACTGGGGTACAGCACTTTGATAGAGGTGACTCCCACTCAAACGCAAATCAATAAGCTTGAGTAACAAGCCCAGATCCCTAACCACACCGCAACCTCTAAAGACTTTGTGGGTGGCTACTTTTGGGTTATTTACTAAAACTTGTGCAAACAATTCGCTCTTGTTGTTTTTACAGTTTAACTTACCAGCCCTGAAAAGCCAACAACTTCCTTTTGGAAGAGGTCCACCGTACAGTGTGTGAGATAAGGAACAGAGCACTGGACTTTCTGCTCCTCGTAACTGTCAGGAAATGTTGTTTTATAGATAACACGCCACTGACTTTGCTTTTTTCAATAGGTAACACCCCTGGTTTCCCTGAATTAGACTGAGGGAGATAGATTATTTTGCCAAACATGTCTGCTTTCTGGCCTTTGATGCCAAAGTCTAGCACAGCTGATTGCAAAGAGATAGTTCACCTTCCTTAGAAAGCTCACAAATAAATAAACCAGGTCAGTTTATTTGACTTCCAAATAGTCACCTGATTACACAACGGTTCAAATGCCCCATACAGTTTATTTGCGCTTTTTGTGCAAACATAATCTTGTAATGTGAATTTTTAAAAAAATGTTTCTAGAGCAGATAGGCTGTTACAAAGTGTCCCCATACGAACGTGAATCATCTTCCTTCGAAAACTAAATCCCCGTAAGCAGTGTTTTCTGGTCTCACTGTGAAAGCTGCACCAATTCCTTATTTCTCGTGGAAAAATGATTTTTGCTCGTCTCCGGCAAAATGTCGGATTACTGTGTGAGATTCTTGGTAATTCATTTCTGCACAACTGTCAAGGCGATGACAGGAGAAGGGTCTCTCCCTACCAGAGATACAGAAAGAGAATTCAGAGTCTTAGAAGATGAAAGTGGACTGCAGGTGTTAGCAGCCATTGAACCTGTTATGCTCTAAGAATGAGCTCGGTTTGACTTTGATTTGATTACGCACAGGTCTTTTAAATATCTCACAAAAGGCTCCCGGTGCCCAAATTCTATTATTTCCCTTCAAACACAAACTGAGCCGACCTGAACTTCTTCGTACTTAGGAAGCAGATGAAGCTTTTTTATCTTTTTATTTTAACCGTGCAGCATTTTATACTTAAAACTAAAAAGCCTGAACCTTTGTTTATCCCTGCTCCGCAAATAGAAACCTCAGTCCTCAGGCAGAATTGAACATGTTCTTTGGTCTCTATGCCATAATGTTTACACAACATATTCCAACCAGCTTACCTGTACAGATCCTCGGGTCTCTTAAGATTCTGATAAAACTTTCACTGTCTCCAAAGTTCTTAGCCATGTGGCCACACCTTCTGTTATCACACTCTTTCTCTGAGGAGGAGGGGCATGATCTCCACAGTGCACCGTGCTCTTAGAACCATGTACTTGCTGTGTTCTCTCTTCTCGTAAAACACGTTATTATTTACAATGTACATTTTACAATATACAAAGAAACCTATGTGAACACAGGGAGACTGTGCAAACTCTACACAAACTCTCACAGTAGCTCACAGGCCTACTATGCCCTTTATACATCCATTTAAAAAAACACAGAACCACACTGTGGTTTTCACAAACGGGTAAACTCCAGGTCCACCAAGATGCAAAAGAACGACAAATCTCATTTCATTTTATATGAAACTAAAACGGTCTTGTGCATCCTTGTGTTGTGTGAAACAAAAATGTGGAGAAAACATTAGTTAGATAAGTTCACTTTATTGGCCATATACAATTTCTTGCATTAGGAATTTGTCTTTTCACAGACCCCAGTTTGCTCTCCATGAGACACACAGACAGGGAGAGAGAAGCTTGGGGTCAGAGCACAGGGTCAACCATTCATACAGCACCCCTGGAGCAGTGGGGGTAAAGGGTCTTGCTCAGGGGCCCAACAGAGTAGGACTCCTCTGCCAGCTGTGGGATTTGAACCGACAACCTTCTAGACACAGGTACAGAGCCTTAGCCACAGTGCCATTCCACATTATGCTAAATTTACAGTAAAGTAATTTAATAAACTGTGTTTTGATTAATAGGTTACATACTGGCTTCATTCTCAGCACTACAAGCTCTCAATACTGCCAAAACAAAAAAGCAGAGAGTATTTTGCAAACTGTGTTTATTTCCCATGGTGCCACGTCATTTGAATATTAGCTTTTAAAAGCAGGAAAAAATAGTTCACATAGCAGAGAGGACAGATGGATTCTGTTTCCTTATACCAGAATGACCCCACCCTTTTTTAACACCAGGTTTAGAGCTTAAGTCAGTCACACTTTAAAATAATAAACAGTTCATTAACTCCTCATGACTGCAGGGCTGTAAGTGAGAATAAAAGAATAAGTCATCTGTTCGACTTCATTTGTCACTGTAGCGCCTTCAGAAATCCAAAGTGGCTGAGGTATTCAAAAGTTATTCTGTCAGAATTCATGACAATTATCTGCCACAGTTATTTTATGGGGTTAAGCATAAATCAGGCATAGCGCTTTGTCAACAGCATTCTGATTTTATAATCCCTTTTCCCTTCCAACACACAGACACAGAAGCAGGATAGATCTGACCACTCCCTGTCCATGTCCATATTTTCTGTTTTAGGAAAGGAGTCTGAATCTCCTCACACAGGAAGGAAAGCACCAGGACAACAGAATAAGTTTTTTTTATGTTTTGCTTTTTAAGTATTTTTTAAGAAAAGAATTTAAAATGAATTACAAATTTCAAGACTGTCCTCCCATCAAAGAACAACAACAACTCAACAAGACTGAGCTGTAGCGGGTTACTTCCTGTGATTCACTTCCTGTGGAGCACTTCCTGTTAGTGGAGGGCCGGGATGGCCAGGGGGGCAGCGTTCCTGCCGTCCTGATTGATGCAGGGGCTGAAGAGCGGGAAGAGCTTCTCCGTGAAGGCGTCGGTGAAAGTGAAGAGGTGGGCCTCGGCTGTCACGTCGAAGAAGGAGACCTGCCCCTCCTCGTAGTCCACGTACACCCCCACGCGGTGGGGCTTGGAGAGCAGGCAGAGGGGGACGCGGGTGGACGACAGGGCCTTGTACCCGTCCCCGTTCTTCAGCCACATGCACCAGTACCCACTCTCGGGGCTCATTTTGATGTCCCCCTTCCTGTTGACAGACTCCTTCGCCACCCCGAGAGTCCAGGCCGTCTTCCTCCCCACCTCCACCTCCCAGTAGTGCCTCCCCGAGATGAAGCCCTCCCGGCCCAGGACGAAGAGGGCCTTGTGGAAGCGCTCCGGGTTGTCGGGCAACGGCTGTTTCTTGCCTTCGCACCGCACCTGCTTGCCATCCTCCGACAGGACCAGGTTGCACTGGGCCGTGTCAGGGTCAAGGGTCACATCCACTGTGGAGCGGAATTATGACAAAGACATCACAGAAGATCGGGCTGAATTTCGCACACTTCTGCTCACCTACGTACCCAGTGTGTTTCTCCCATGGCCCCTCCCACCACTCCAGCTACACCCCTGCAGCAGCTCCCTGGCTCAATCCTAGCAATACCAATCCTGGGTCAATCCTTACCACAAGGCTGCCAAATTCCCCTTCTGCCAGGTGAGCTACACTAAATCCACTCCATATATTTCATCCCGCTCTCATTTATTACCTAACCAAACTACCGAAAAAGACATTCGAAACTGAGAGCAAAATAAACTGCTCTATCCAATTCAGGGTTGCGGAGGAGCCAGAGCCTTACACCTGGTAAGCCACAGGCGCAAGGCAGGCTACATCCTGGACAGGATGCCAGTCCATCACAGGACACACACAGGCACAGGTATACAGTGCACTCACAATTCCCAGAAGCCAGTTAACCCACCAGCGTGTCTTTGGAATGTGGGAGGAAACAGGAGCACCCAGAGGAAACCCATGCAAACATGAGGAATGCAAACTCCACACAGATAGCACCCCAAAAACTGAACCTAAGACTCCAGCACTGGGAGGCACCAATTCACGCCACTGTGCCGCCCCTAGGTCTTGAAAAGCGAGGTATTATACAGTACATTTCCCTCAACCCATGAAAAGCAGAGTAGATCAGAACCATACCTGCATAGTTCTGTATCCTTTTCAGCTCTGGAAAGATAATATGGTACATATTACATATTAACTATAAAAATGGAGGCATATAATAAACAAGTTATTTTAAAGCAAATAAAGGAAATAGTCAGCATCAAATGTAAAATCTGAATTTTTGAAGCTCTGTTAGCAGAAGAATTCCTGTTTTAGAGAAACATTTCTATAAATCTGCAGTAGGTGGATAACTATGCAGCACTGATCAATGTTGATACCTTTTCCATGGAGTCGCTTCAGTATCTCCTGGCACCTATCCACCAGTTGGGTCACAGACTTCCTCACTGTCCCTGTGTATAGGTCCGTCTGGACAGTAGTGTCAGACCAGTCCGTGTGCTCTGGGAGGACACCGAGGGTCGGGAATTTCTATCGTGGCAAAAAGGATAGATTAGTCATCTGGATGAACGTCTCCCATTTGAAACACTGGGGTGTAGATTGTTCTAAGAAGACGTTTAGGAAACGTAGGGGTTTAAGGGACCATTGGGGTGTAGACAGCTCTAAGAAGGGGTTAAGGAAACAGTGGGGTGTAGACAGGACTAATAAGAGGTTAAGGAAAGATCGGGGTATAGACTCGTATCTCATTTCTCAGTCAGATGTCATTTTCTAGTAAGGCCAGAAGGGTCACCTGGAGGAAGTGGACCTGGTCTTCGGTCTGCAAGAGCTGGTCCAGTTCAGTGTTCCTCCTCTTCAGCTGAGAGAGCTCCTGCTCCAGCTTCCTCATCAGCCCCTCGGTCTGCCTCTCGGCCGCCTTGTGCTTCTTCTCGATGGCCTCCACGACCTCGGCCTGGCTGCGCTCGAAGGCCTGCATCAGCTCCGAGTACACCTGCCAGCTCTCCTCCATCTCTTTCTGCGCCGAGCTCTGGGCAAGTGGAGAAGCAAGACTGAATGGAAAAGACCCGGGGGGGGGGGGACAGCTTTGTCAAGATGGCAGTGCCATTTCCCCCCCCTTGCAAGATATGAATCATCTGCAAAAGAACCAAAGGAGCAGAGCTTGTTCAGACAAGATGGCAGCTCTTGTCTGGACCACATTTCCCAGAATCCTCTGGGGAAACGATCTGCTGCTCTCTGTCACCTGTCTTGTTTGCTGAAAGGCAATTAGTCAGGTGACAGTTTGAAAAACAGGAAGTAATAATAATAGTAATAATAATAATAATAATAATAATAATAATAATAATTCCTTACACTCATCTAACGCTTTTCTGGACAATCCACTCAAAGTGCTTTACAGGTAATGGGGATCCCCTCCACCACCAGTGTGCAGCCCCACCTGGATGATGCTCCAGTACTCTCACTACACACCAGCTCTCAATGGGGATGAGAACAGAGTGATGAAGTCAGTTCAGAGAGGGGGATTATTAGGAGGCCATGATTGTTAAAGACCAGGGAGAAATTTGGCCAGGACACCAGGATTAATACCTTTACTCTTTTTGTGTCTTTTAATCAAATGCCGAGTACTCTTTTAAACAAAATCTGAGTTCCTTTCTTGCCATAATCCCAGATAACGTGCTGGAAAATTACAAAGCCAGTCATTGTTGTTTGTTTTTTCTCAAGCAGAAGAATCCCAAGCTTGCTGCTCACGTCAGCTGCCAAACAGGAAAAACCTGCCTGGCCTTCCAAGGTAGGAAACTGGAGTTACTAAGCATTACGACAGACAGGAGAGGGGGAACTCCGAGAGAAGCTCAAGTGAGCGAGTGAAATTTCTTCTGTTATTATTTACCCTCAGCTCTTGAAACATCTGCTTCATCGATCCAATTTTCAAGATGGAGGTCCAACTACTTTAATAATAGTTCTTCCTATTCGGTTCCTGCCCCAGTTCCTTTACACAGCTGTTGTCTGTCGTAATATACTGGTACATCTGTTCTCCCCCTGGGTTTTCCATAGCCCACCATCCTTCACAACAAACACTGGGATATTATTGCTCTTGCAATTCAGTTCCCGATCACTTCCCCATTATGTCTGCTTGTAAGACATTCATTGGGGCCATTAATTACAACAGATGTTACAGTATTTGTTGAACTATATGGTAATGATTTTACTTCACTGTTGTCCCAGTACGTTAGCAGTCACTGCACTTTACTGTGTTTCTACTGGCACATACCAAAGTAAACGTTTGTAATGGTGGGTTTAGCCAGTGCAGAACCCTCTATGCTCTGCAGGATCTTTACAAGTGGGGAAGATTGCAGCTTATGCTCCAGTATGGATTTGCATCTTTAAGACCTCCCTGTATTCCAAGTCTCTAATTCCACACCAACAGCGTTAGAAGTCCACTAAACCAATCAGCATGCCGAAGAGTGATGTCAGTAAGTCTCTTGTATTCCCCAAAAGAGGACCTGTTACACCAAGACAGCTGTGCCCAGCTCCAGTCCACGGGGGCCACAGTATCTGTTGATTTTCATTCCAGCTTTGCTCGGAATGATCCAATCGAGCTGAGCAGTAGCCTAGCTTGACCATTGCATTACCTGTAGAAGGTCTTCAGCCATTGATCATTAGGACGGGATTCTGGTCCTTGAGGACTGGATTCGTGCATCTACAGTCCAAGGCCTTTGGCAAAACTCACTTTGATGATCTTCAGCACCTGCTTGAGGTCCTCCATCTTCTTCACCCTCTCCTTGATCAGCTGCTGCACCTCCGCCTTCTTCTTCCCCAGCTGCGGCTACGAGGAAACAGCAGGGTGGCCATGAGAGGAGACTCCCCCCCTTAGCCAAGGACAGAAACAGCCTTGCAATACAGAATGTTTCCTCCTAAACACCCAATCTTGTTACCTCCTCACCCCACTATTCTACCCTACTGTTTTTTTTTTTCCAGTAAGCCTACATTATCACAAATATATCTCTCCTCTTGTAACATTGTTTACCACAGTTATCAGGACAGGTGCATATTTAATAAGTATGCAAAACTGCCCCATACAGCATATGCCAATGTGCAAAGAAGCATGTGATATGAAACTGCACTTAGAGGGTGAATAATAAGGAATACGATTATTTTAATCCTATAAACGTTAAGGGAAAATGATCATATAACGGTAAACATTTAGAAGGACTCCCACATGATAAAGAAAACTGACTAGGAGAGACACTGAAAAATGATATAACGCTTCCTTCAAATTCTGGAGCCAAGGGGAAATGGGTTTTTCCAGCTTTCATTCCAGCTGAACTCTTAATCACAAGTGAAAACGACAGTGTGTAGGAGTCCACTTAAAACCAGCAACAAGAGGCAGAGGCTGGTGGGAGTCTAGAACAAGCTAGCCAGTCATGCTGTTGAAGCCTGATACCCTACTTTATTTGAAGAGACAGCTGGATCACATCAATTAAAGACTAAGTGTCAAATAGGCAATCTGGGCAAAATGGTCTCCTCTTTTCATAACCTTTGTAACTCTCCTCCCAGTTCAAGATTGATAGACACCTAAGAAACCTCTTGGATTGGGGCCTGCGAGGAATCACACTTCTGCCATTCTGGTGTCCCAGAGCTCTCTGGTTTCCTTACCAGGCAGACGCGGGTTCGAAAATCAGGTGGGACTGCTGCGGCACCCTAAAAGCGAGTAACCTTACCCAGGTGGCCCAGAGATTTAAACTGGTACCACAGGTTGTGCGTCAAAACCAAACTCCCCGCCAGTGCCGGTGGACGGACGCCATTGCCCATCGACGGGGCTGCCTACCAGCTTCTTCCTCCACTCCCTCTCCACGGGGACGACGTTGTGCTTCTTGTGGCCGGACTCCACGCACAGCGCGCACACGCAGGCCTGGTCGGTGCGGCAGTACCCCTCCAGCAGCTTCTCGTGCCTCTTGCACAGCTTCTCCTCCAGCCGGTAGACGGGGCTCACCAGCCTGTGCTTGGAGAGCGTCTTGACCTTGCGGTGGTGCCGGAGGTGCGTCTCACAGTAGGAGGCCTGGCAGGTCAGGCACGACTTCGCCGCCTTGAGCTTCTTCCCGATGCAGGAGTCGCAGGACACCTCTCCCGGCCCCGCGTAGCTCCCATCCGGCCCGCCCTGGCCCCCCTTCTGGAACTGCTCGGCGATTTCGGCCAAGACCCGGTTGACGGAGAGCTCGGGGCGGACGGGGAAGGTTTTCTTGCACATGGGGCACTGGCACGCTTTGCTGTGGTTCCAGTAGCCTCTGATGCAGGCCATGCAGAAGCTGTGCCCGCATGGCGTGGACACCGGGTCGACAAAGATGTCCAAACAGATGGAGCACTGGAACTGCTCCTCGGAGAGAGTTCCCCTGGGAGAAGCCACGCCTGGGACGGGGGGAAACGAGAAACGAAGATGCATGTATGGGGTGTGGGGCTGAGCTCCAGATCAGATCTGGTTTGACATATCAGGCACACCCCTGAGTGTCCAAGCCACTCAGCCAGAATGAACATCAAACCCACCAGCACAGAGGACTCAAAGGCATTTGGGAGATGCATGGGCATGCATGTCACATACCTATTCTCTACAGTGTAGATCTAACATGAATCCTGTGACACTGTCCACAAATTAACCTGTGGTTCTAGATTTAAGAAGTCAAATGTATGCCTAATGGTATATTTTAGATATATATATATAATAAGATATATATAACAAATCTATTCAAATAGCTCATAAATGTCAACATGGCTTTTGCTTATTTGCGTGAGTGGTTCTTGCATCTCTCCCTCCTCCTCGTCATCTTCCCCCTTTAGAGCAGCTCCCTGGCTCATTCCTGCATTAAGGCAAGGGGGAGTTCTGACAGCCAGGTGAGGTGCTCCTGTTCCACCAGCTCTTAACTCCCCCCCTTCATGTTTCGGGGACAGGGCAGTCATTTCCAGGTTTTGGCTCTTGTTTAAATGCAATGGGAAGGGGGCAGCATGTGGCACACCTCACTCAACTGCAGGAAGAAAATGGAACCTCAGGCTGAAATGTCTGCAAAGCTTTCTTCCGGAGGGAACTGAGTTGAAGACAGATACAGGTCTAATGTCAGCCCCTTTACTTACTATACTATCAAAAATGATGTTCAAAACTTAGCTCTTGGTGCACAGCTTAGATAATATGCCCTTATAAAGCATTTACCTACTCCACAGGTATTGATTGATAAGCTGATATTAGATGTCTGATTAGTAGCTTTGGAAGTCTGATGGTTTATTCTGGTTTGTACTGTAAATGCCTTGAGGATGTATAGGCTGGACCTTTGTTCCATTGCTCAATTTTACTCTCTTTCAGGTAATGGCGACTGTAGCAGACACATTTGGCACACGTCTGCCCTTTATTGCACAGTTCACAGACCTGCCTCAAAGCTGACGTTCAGGAGGCCGCGTTAGAGACTCCTGGTGACTCACGGCCATTTTGAGGCAGTTCTGTGACATGTTTAATAAAAGGGCAGATGTGTGTCTATGTAACAGGTCACACCACAGCCCTGAGAAAGCTGCGCTCGACACTGTTACTGTATTTCACAAAGGAACGAGGAAGAATGTTTCAAAAAATGCACCTTTTTTCATGTATAGCTGGACTCCAAGAATGGAATGCAGCAGTACAGGATACACCCAGAGTCTAGTGTAACAAATGTAACAGAGCTCGTCAGTCAGTCAATCAGACTGGTGCCAACTAGAATTTATAGTCCAGTTCACTTTATTGTAATTCTGCACTTATACAGATATACAAGAGAGAAATAAAATACTGCCTGCATTTTTAGGGCATTTCTAGCTGGGCTTAAACCTTTATATTTTACTTTATCTTTTTGTCGTTTCAAAGGATACACCACCACCCTGCCACATGTTTACTTTATAGCGAGAAAGACTCAGTTAACAGAAACAAACCGCTGAAAAGACTCCCCCGTCTTTAAGAAAAAGAGAAACCAGCAGGAGTCGGGGTGCAGTCTGCCAACGTTAAAGGCTGAGAACCTTAAAAAAAGAAAGTTAAAGGAAGACTTTCAAAACACCCACTTTGCATTTGGAGTTCTGAGCCTGTAGCTTCCCACAGGTGAGAGCTCTCCCCCGTTGAGCTCCTGCGACGGCGCTGTCCGCTCAGAGCTCTCCACCTGATGCCTGACCAGTCACCTCTTCTCTCTCCGGCTCGGCTCCGCTCAGGGCGCTCCGAGGATGTCCAGCAGACACAGCAGGATCAGCAGAGCAGCTCCAGAGGGGACAGGGACTGTCGTCTGGTGTGGACTGAAGGGCAGCAGCTTCACAAACTTCAGTGTGCAGCTCAGAGCCGGGCTCCACCCTCTGCTCTTAAAGTCGTAGCGTCATCAGGGCTGTCCCGGGAGAACTGGAATTTTCTAAGCTTTTTTTTTTCCCCCATGTCTATCAGATCTCGTTGTGATTCGCTTTCCGGATGAGGACTGGGTAAGTTCACGGACAAGTGGCTGATCAACTGGCGGAGGTTACTTTGTCAAGCTGCCAAAAAAACCTCAAGTCAGCTGGAGAGCAGCTCTCCAGCAAACAAGCCCGCGACACCTGTTTTAGCGCTGTGCAAGTCTACTCCAGAGAATACGATATTACTCCTCCAGAGTAAATTATATGGCCACATTTTCATTTTATATGACAAATATTAAGAATAATTTTGCCCTTTCTTCTATCCATTTTGATTTGTGATAGTTCCATTTATTTTCATTAAAATAAATATAACATTTAAAACAGGGACTAATGAACTAATGAATTCCAATAGAAGATCACAGGTATCTCAACATCAACTACCAATAAGCGGTTTTGTCAATTAGCAGGCAATAAGAACTGTAGCCAAATCACATCTGTTTTGCAGATTGACAAAAAAGTGACTTTTTAAGCTCAAAAGCATGTGATTGTTATTATTTGGATGTTCAGAATGCTGTTGAAGTTTGACTTTGCAATGACACGATCAAAGGATTTAAGCACAGAAGTGAATGAAATAGAAGTATAGATGTTTAATTGTCAGGTAACTCAAAGGAGGTGCATGAGGCTCAGGTGGAACACGTGGGGAAGGTGTGTGCATTATTACAAAAGTTGACCCAACTTGGAAAACAAAATATCCGTGCCACCTAAAGCATACAGTAGCAATTTCACAAACAGAACAAGATAGCATTCTCACTGCAAGATCAGCAACTAACATTCCAGCATTGACTATGTCATTCCCAAAGTGATAGAGGTGCCCGAGGCAAAAAGCTGAGAGGGATAATAATTTCAACACTGCTTCTTCTCTGTGGTGGTGTGGGTGTGGGGCATAAAACCAATCGCTCCAAACGAGAAAATCAACTCCACCCAGTCCCCGCTACAGGCACACCACGTGCCCTGGAACATAAGGGAGTCTGCCAATGAGGTGAGCTCATAGGGCCCATCGAACTCACCGTGTCCCGAGACGGAACGGAGCTTCCGAAAACGAGATCAGAAAAGAAATGTTCAAATAGTACGAGGAACTTAAAACTGCCCCAGAGGAGATATGTAAAGACTCAAAGAGGGTAGAGTTTTCTCTTTGAGGCGTTTTTATGATAAATGTTTCAGATTCTTACGGCTTTCTGGTTACATCTAGACTAGCAACAACCGAGAGATGCACTGATGGCTTGTGTGTTGTAATGAGTTGTCAGTGACTCTACAGGAAGACAATTTACCATGACAGCCCAAGAGGTCATCTTCACTTCAGCACTTGTTTTTATTGGCAGTACATTATCTTATAAAAAAAAACATAACGAAGGGAGGTAGAGGAGGGCATTTGACCCATCTCGCCCATCTGGAAGGAAGCAGCCCACGGATGCGAGGATCTCATCCAGCTGGAGAAAGGTTTTCGGATTATGATGTGTAGCATGTTCCACACTCCCACCCCCTTGTGGCTGAAGAAGTGAATACGGTTTGTTCTCAGAATTAAACGTCCACATAGTCTCCAGCTGTGTGCCTGGGGCATGTTGGGCTGGTCACTCTTGCTTGATTTTGTCAATGTCTTCTGAATACTTGTATCAGGTCCCCTCGCAGTCTTCAAGACTCAAAGATCCCATCCCTTCACTCTGCCAGTGTAGGACAATTCCTAAAGACCTGGGATGTACCCGGTTGCTCATCTCTGGACTGATTCCAGACCATCAGCATCGTTTTTATAACATGGTAACCAAAATGGTACACAAATGCCAAAAGAGACCTTATTTAGTGCAAAACGTTAGCATAGCATCATTTAACTTTAAATTGCATTCTTTTGACTATACATCCTAACATTTTCTTTATGCTGTCGGGCTTCATGCTTTCTGATGTCAGCCAGGTGCTGGGGACTTTAAGGTCTTCCCCAGCCATATGATTTGCAAGCATGTGTAGTCCGGTTAGCAGGTTGTGTCCTACTGTAAAGTCAGTGCATGCCGGAGCACGGTGTATATCATTCACCGGCTCTCCCCCGGGACTCCCCCAGCAAAGGAGCTAAACGGGCTTGTTGCTCAACAGCGCCCCCGTCTGCTCAGCACTGAGAACTCGCGCGTCGTGCAGCTGGAAAACGTTAAGTTCCGCTGCGACCCTCCGTGGAGCTCGGAGGGTGGTCACACGTGCCCACCCCGGCCCCTACGGCGCGGACTTTCTCCCTGCTCCTGCTCTGGCGGGGTCTCCCCAGATCACCCGCGCACCCGCGCGCAGCTTGCCTCTCGCTCAGTCCATGTGAGCGACCGGAGAGACGACGAGCGGGGCCCCATTTTTGCCGTCCACGCGGAGGCAGGGGTCGAAGAAGGGGTAGAGTCGCTCTGTGAAGGCGTCGTCGGTGAAGGTGTGGATGTGAGTCCGGGTCTCCACGTTGTAAAAGGAGACCTGCCCCTCCTCGTAATCCACATACACCCCCACCTTCCTGGGCTTGAGGCTCAGGGGGAGGAGGGTGACGGGCGAGGTGGTCGCTACAAACCTGGTGCCTTTCTTCAGCAGCACCGTCCAGTAGCCATTCTTGGAGCTGAGGATGATGGTCCCTTTCCTGTTCACGGACTGCTTGGCCACCCCCAGGGCCCAGTCCTTCTTCTCCCCCACGATCACCTCCCAGTAGTGCCTCCCGGAGGCGAAGCCGTCCTTGGCCAGGACGCAGACGTCGTCGTAGAACCTGCCCGGGCTGTCGGGCAGCTGTTGGGGGGTATCCACCAGCCACACCTCCTTCCCGTCCGCGGACAGGCCGAGCCAGGGGCCCGCCGTGCTGGGGTCCAGAGTCACGTCCGCTGCGGAGAGATCGGAGGGGGGGGGGGAGAGAAACAAAAATCAACGACCTCCATCCTTATCGTCACCAAGGTTGACGTTTATTTTTGCAGAGCGCAGCTCAACAGAACCAGGGGAAAGAAAGCGTAAATCGCCCTACCTCCATACTTCTCAAACTTCTTGAGCTCTGAAAAAGAAGGATGTAGTAGAATGTGAATTTCCCTCCCAACGGAAGATCGATTCGCCCATATTCTGCTTTATCCGATACAGGATCTCAGGGGTAGCCCCCCCAACAGACTGCATGCATGGCCCCAACACTGAGAGGCAGCAGTGCTCACCGCTGCCCAACACACCCAAACTACATCGTCAGTAAAGCAAAACCTGTAGTCTTGTGCTGTATCCCCGATAAAGAGGAAGACTGTCAGAGCACAATTTACACTGGTACGGCCTAACATCATGCAGTTCAAGGAACAAGTAAAGGTTTATTCCATGCTGAAAAGAGAAGCAAAGAAACACAACGTTTCGGCTATGGAGCCTGTGGAGCTTTCCCGAAGAAAGCTGGAATAAACCTTTACTTGTTCCTAATATTATGCAGCATCACAAGGGTGGAAGAGCAGCCTGTGTCTTATCACTTACAGCAGGTGGGGGGTGACAAAGGCTTACGAGAAAGAAATCAGAACAAAAACTGAGAACACACCCTTGACTGAGTGGATCTTCACTTCTTCCCTGACCCTGTCCCCCAGCTGACAGACAGCTCTCCTGATCAGCCCTGGACAGAGGTCAGTGTGGACCGGGACGCCGGACCAGTCCTTCATGTGAGAAGGGGCAGACAGAGACGGGAGTATCTAAGGTGGGACAGGAGGGGACATAGATGAACACTCATGAGACATAAACTCTGGAGATTAAATCTCTTCTTAGTATAGTTATCTCCGCACTGCCTGTGTCCAGTATGTCTTTTGTATGGCCTAAAAGGCTTTATTACAACAGCACCTCTACACCTCTATGATAGCACTGGCTTGGGCTTTTGACAAGACACGTCATTTGGCCACTAGCCCATTTGGTGAATAGTAGCTTATTAACCCCAGAGTCTCATCCGACCTATTCCTGAAGAATCCCAGGGTGGCATCAACGAAACAGATGGGAGGCTTGTTCCATACTGCGCCAACCCTTTAGATAAAGAAGGGCCTGCTTTCATGGCCTCAGTTGTAAACGCACTGCCACTGAGCTTCCACCTGCGTCTGTGTCTGGTTCTGGTCTCCCTGTTCATTCTACAGAAGGCCAATGGGTTGACTCCGTTGATACGTTTGAGGATAAGAGGGAGACTTTGTCCTCGATTGACTGACCTGGCAACGCAAAGGAATGCCAGGAATTCCCCAAGCGGCACGTAGACTCGTCCCGCTCACTAGCGGCAGTGTGGGCTGACCTGTAGGAAGCGGATGGGGTCCTCGCTGTGGGACAGCTGCTCCAGCTCGGCGCTCCTCCTCTCCAGCTCGGCGATCTCCCGCTCCAGCTCCGAAATGAGCCCCTCCGCCCTCCGCTCAGCGGCCCTCTGCTTCTCCTCGATGAGCGCCACGAGCTCGGCCTGGCTCCTCTCGATGGAGCGCTGCAGAGCGGCGAAGACCTGCACGCTGTCCTTCATCTCCCTCCGCGCGCAGCTCTGAGGGCACAACGAGCGGCTCACAGATGGGTACAAACGTGAGCATTAGACACATTTGATTACATACAGGTAGATTCAAAAAATGAGTTTGGCCCACTGGGCAACTGAAGTGAATTATTAGGACAAGTACAGTAGATACGCTTATGCCTTCCAAGAGATTCTCGGTTTCCCTAATTTGATTAGCTGGGTGATGAGGTCGAATTAGGTTGTGATCCTCACCTTCATTCCTGTTGACCAGCTTAATGCTGAAAGCTTGCCCTCTTTAGAAAACCTGAACCTCAAACAAAACACAAAAACAAACTGGAAGCAACATCGCACACCGAAAGGTCTCGTTCGCCAAGAACCTGGCGAGAGGAGAGCTCTCTCAGCAATAATCTTTATGCGTGCTCCGCGTCTTGCTGTTCAAAGAACCTGCTCTTCCCACGACGCCGTCTTACAAAAAGCAAAGACAGGGCATCTTTTGAATACACGTCTTACAAACGCCCTGGTTATCTTTGTGTTCGAATGCCTGTTATTTCAGCTCACAATGTGTTCACATGCTGATTTTACTGGCCTTCCATGTTTTGAATGCATGCATTCATCAGCAGTGACTGTCCTAAAAGATCATTCCCAGAAAAGGAAAAACCACCTGTCTGTCATTCTCGAGAGTAAGGAATGCTAAAAGCACAAACTTAATGTCACTCTGCTAGTACTGTACAGTGAAGTTGTACAAATGGTAATTACTGTATATAGGTTGCTTTGGCTTAAACTGTCTGATGAGAAACTAAAGGAAAATAATCAATTTAGCCAAAACTAAAACTACTCTATGAAGTTCCTACTGAAAATGTCCTTGAGCCTCATAGTCTCAGCTCATTACTGTAGTGATCAGAACACAGCAGTGGCCCAAGCATGGATCCCTGCAGAACCCCACTGGTTGAATAGCACCCTTAACAGGACTCACTTTGATGAGCTTCACTGACTGCTTGATCTCCTCCACCTTCTTCAGCCTGTCCTGGATCATCTGATGCACTTCGGATGCAGTCTTCCCAAGCTCTGGCTGTGGGGAAAGACAGTCTCACAAGGTTGGGCAGCTCAGCAGAAGTTGATGCAGGCTCTTTCAGGGAATGCTGGAATTTAAGGGATATTGAAATGTCCACCTAAATTTTACTGACAGTCCAAATCCTCCCTTTTAACTGCTGCTAACTGCTCGTTGGGTTTTATTCAGGATATCCTCCTCACAGATCTTACAAATACTCCCTGTGAGTGGTAATAAAACATCCATGTGACAAGGAAGCCTGGAGAGGCAGAACAGCGCCCCCAATCTGAGCTCAGTAAAGTCATCTGGAAACTTTGCCGTTACTTGGATGAGACGGTGTTCAGTAAACTCCTCTGAGGTGTCATCAACATAAACAGTCATAAGACGATAATCCTCCAATTAAATGATGCCAATACATGTTTTTCTGTAACTGAAAACATTATTCCATACACCCATTACTGGAAAGCCTGAATTCCTGATAGAATTCAATTCCAATTAGAATTACAGCAACGAACATTTACAAAAAACAGTTACCCCTAGCCAACGTCTCAGGCCGAGGGGAAGAAACTGAGAAACCCAGGAAAAACCACAGTGTGCAGAGTCAGACCAAGCAAGCACCCTACAAAAGAGACCTGAACCATAAGATGGGTCATGTGTGTTTTTGATGTATTTGACAAATGCAGTATTCGATCTTAAACACTGAAACATTTCAGCACAACAGGAGCTTTGAGGTGTTCCATTTATGAATGCATTACTTAATCAAGATATACATCATCAGCTTTCCTCACTCGCTATTTTGGAAATGTATTTTGGCAAAAATGAGGCAATCGGATGTGAAGATTCCAGAGCAGACAAACGTTCACATTGGAACCCACCTTCTTCTCCGCCCACTCTCTCTCGACAGGGACCGTCTTGTGGGCCCTGTGCTCCGTCTCCGTGCAGAGCACACAGATGCACGTCTGGTCTCGCCTGCAGAACAGCTCCAGGAGCCTCTCGTGCTTCTTACACAGCCGGTCCTCAAGGCTGCTCACGGGCTCGACCAGCCGGTGCCTCCTGAAGGCGGCTCCTTGGAAGTGGGGCTGGATGTGGCTCTCGCAGTAGGAGGCCAGACACACCAGGCAGGACTTGACCGCCCGGAGTTTCTCCCCAGTGCAGGAATCACACAGCACCTCCCCCGCTGTAGCTGGGCATTCCTGCTCACTGCTGACTCTCATCTTCCTGAACTGTTCGGCCATCCCGGCGATAAACGTGTTGATACTGAGATCCGGCCTCACCGGAAACGTTTTCTTACACAGTGGGCACTGGCACGCGTCACTGCTGTCCCAGTAACCGCCAATACAGCCCATGCAGAAGTTGTGCCCACAGGGAGTGGACACGGGGCTGGTAAAGATGTCCAGGCAGATGGAGCACTGGAACTGCTCTTCAGACAGGAGACTACTGGGTGAAGCCATTCCTGAGCACAGAGGAGAAGAAAAGGAGACCATCTGTAGAGAAGATCAGCACCATCTCAATACAGCAAAAACCAGCACAGAGCTGATATGGAGGGACAGAGGTTTCAGACAGACTCCACGGTTCCTATCCAGTGCTGCACAGAAGGCATCAGACTGAAATACAGGAATAAAAAAACTGGGCCTCCGTTTTAGTACATCTATGAATGCGTCTGCAACGAACCCTCACTATATTCGTAATTCCTTTGAATAGTGTAACCGTCATCCCCATATTTCCATCTGGTACACCTGATGAATTGGCCATTAGCTTCCATCTGTGAATCACAGTCATCGGATAGCTATAAGGCTAAGGAACTCGGGCAAGGCAAGTATGCATATAAGGAACTTGTGTAGTTTGTCAGTGACAAAGTATCAATAGGAAATGTATAGATCCTGAAAGCAGTTCAGTGACTAACAAATCCTCTTAAAACGTAATAACAGCCTTTTCAGACTTTTTCACAGCAAGCTACCCACAGCCATGTTTTTTTTTTTTTCGGCTGTGAAAAAAATCTCAAATGTTTTTATTTTGTTTGGATACTGCTCAAGTTAACATGTTCACAAAGAAGTTCCACATGAACCAACGTGGAATTTGGCAACATGAACCAGCAGTGACAGTGTAATAATAATAATAATAATAATAAT